TAATAAATGTTGTTTGATTCAAGCTAATCACAGAAGGCAAAACCTCACACAACCTCTTAGACATGATTTTTGCCACTATTTTGTAGAGCACATTAACACAAGAGATAGGACGAAATTATTTAAAAGATTAATCATTCAGTACCTTTGGTATAAGAGCTACTGTAGTGGCATTAACTCCACTTAGCAGCCTCTTCGTCGCAAAAAAATCCAAAACCCCTTTTGTAACATCTGCCCCTAAAATATGCCAAGTCTTTTTGACAACCCCCCCCCCCCCCGGGAGGATAAACCATCCAGGCCTGGTGCTTTATGAATGTTCATTTGAAAGATAGTTTCCCTCACTTCATCCACTGTTACTTCCTTTCAAAGCAGTTTCTTATCTTCGTGTGACAATTTCTTTTGTATAACCTCTTTTAGAAGCTGAAAGTCAGGCTGAACTTCAGTGTTTACCACTCCAAACAGCCTATGATAAAAAATAAAAAATACAATTGCCTCATCTGCTACTCTATCAACCTTAGTAATCAATTCCTCTGCCTCAGTTTTAATTCTTCCAATTGCCCTCTTTGCAGTTTGAATTTTAACCGAGTGATGGAAATAACGAGTACTTTTATCACCTCTGTTGAGACCCTCTTCTCTAGATTTCTGCCAATACAGTCCTTCCTCGGCCTTTTAGCATCCTCTATTTGTGATAGCAACAACTTTTTCTCCTGAAACTTTTCAGTTGTAGGGGTTGTAAGGCAATCAGTCATAACTCTCAACAATTGCAGCTCCAACTCCTTTACTTGAGTACTAATATTTGCATAGTGATCCATATTCAACTTCTTCAAAGCCTTCTTAACTTTCTTCACCTTTTCCTCCATGACATTCCAAGGACTACAAGCACACTGAATAGCCTAGGCTTTCTCAACTATGCTAAGGAAGTCAGGATGCTCACTCCAAAAGTCAAAATATTTAAAAGGCTTTGGCAAAGACTTCACATGCGATTTGGCCTACACAAGGATACCACAATGATCCAAGAAAGTACCAGGTATAGCCTCCATAGTACAATTGGGAAATTGTGTCATCCAGGGGGCATTCACCATGGCTTTGTCTAGCATCTTAGTAATAAAATTCAACTGCTGACTGTTAGACCAAGTGTAAAAAGGTCCTAGGGTATGAAAATCCTCCAACTCCATATGTTACCCCACTCCTCAAAATCAGACATACTAGATGAGACAATAGTCTGATTAGATGCCTCATTTGGGTTCAGAATAGTATTAAAATCCCCTCCTACTTTCCAAGGGTAACCATCTACTTTAAACCTACCTATCTCAGCATAGGTAGTTCTTCTCTCTAACTCCTCATTCGAACCATAAACTGATGATAAGAAGTAAACATCACCCATCTGATCTTGTATCATAGTATGCTGAAATTTTTTCCCTAGTTTCAGAATACTAACCTTGAATTCAGGTTGCTAGAATAACCATATAACTTTTTCCCTTGGTTTCAGATTTATCCCCTAATGGTGATTTTAGAAGTAGTATTAAGAGAGGTTGCATGTGCTATTTTCAGAGGAACCACATCAGGAGCTTCTGTTGTCAGGTGAGCAGGGGAAATTGGAATAAAAGACTCCCCAGGGATCAGCTTTTCCTTACCCTTAGAATGATATGCTTCCACCTGATGTCCGAACTTAGCAACATAGACTTTTTGACCAGGGACCAAACCACAACATTATGTTCCAAATAACTTGCAAACATGATACACTGGTGGGAGATGACAATACTCCACTCATACCTGGATGGGAGGAGCCTCATCAGGCCAAAACGTAACGGTTTCTGGAAAAGGACCATCGACCTGTAACTCAGCCAACACTTTAGCAAATCTCATCCTCCTACCCAGCCTTGTAGTGTGATCAACACCCAAAGGGATGCCCACCCAACTACCAATCTACTCAGACTTGGAAATTCACATATTCAAGAGGGACATTCGACAACCTCAACCAAATTGGCAAAGCTTTCCTGCCTAAATCCTCTTCACTGATGCCCGGATTCCAGGGCCGAAGATACAACAAATTATCATTATGAAACCAAGGCCTGTTCTCTAGTATCCAACACAAGTTCCCTGCGAGGGTAGCTGAATCAGAAAGCAAGTTCTCACCTAACAGTGAAGCACGAACCTAACCATCCCGTCCCCATATTTTGTTAGCTCAGCATCGAAGAACCATCAGAGGGGGAATGTCTTGCATAAACTGACCAACCAGACAGTGCTTCCAACGAGCAGCACCCTCCTCTCGAACTATCTTCGACATTCTCAAAATGCCATTCACCACCTCCGGTTTGATGTAACACAGACAATTTGCTTCCAAAATTCCAAATGGCTTAGTCGACTGAATTGTAGGATCCGATTGACTCGATGAGGAAGCCATGGGTTATCAGATCGCACTCAAGAAGTGAGAAGAGAAGGGGAAAAGGAAATGCACCGGCGCAGATGCCGACACGACGACTTAGGCCGTCATCCAAAACCCTAGCCACTAGAACTCTCTCACACTCTACTTTCTCATACTACAAAAACATTTGCCAATAAAGTTGTTACATTTGTTATGCTATAACTTCAATTTGTACAAATTATGACTGTACCATAAAGGAATTTGTAAAAAAGAGTACAAGTATGACCCGAAATTGTACCATAACGTTAAAAATACAACTTCAAATTGTTTCATAAAAACAAAATACTAAAGCACCAATGCTTTAAGACATTGTAAAATTCCTCAAACCTAACTTCACTTCCATAATTGAAAGGAACTCATTCCTCTTACCCTGGGGACTAATTATGGTTTTCAATTTTTTTAATTATTTGTTTAATAAAATTAATATATTATTTTTATGTCACTTTAGTACTCATTTTTTAAATTTCTTTAAAAGTAAAATACTCTATGTTGGATATATGGTTTAGTGTGTTATTATTTGTATAGTTTTGTTTGTGAGGCACTGTTTTATTATAGATTTTTTTCACTATTTGTTACTGGGTAAATCGAGGTAAAAAGTATCAAAATACATAGATATTTTTGAGTTTTAAAGAAATACAATTTGTTTCAACATTTATTTAATTTATTGAGTCTATCTTGAACCATGAAAACACGCATAAAACCAAGAAAAAACCTTCATGCAACATGTTATAAAAACATATCCGAAACCAAATTGTAGTTTCATTGATTTGGGCTATGTTGTTAAAAACTTATAGTCCATTTACTCAACAACCATAAAAAAAAATAAAAAAACAATGGCGACCACGATTTTTCGTTTGGCAAAAGAAAACAAAAGAGTGAATTGCATGTTTGGTCACTCATATTATCTATTTGTAACACTTTAGCCACCCGAATCACTTTCGCTTCAATTCAGCCATCGATACTACATGTTTATGACATCTTTGGTCACTCACCATCTAGTTTCGTTTAGTCTATCCTACGTGGCGATCAACAATTATGTTTGATTGTTAAAATGATGACGTGACAATTAAAAATACATAAATAATAAATAATTTTCTTATACTTTTACAACTCACAAGTCACAACCGGTTGTAGGTGTCGCCGATTCTTCCCCGACCATCTAGTTTCGTTTAGTCTATCCTACGTGGCGGTCAACAATTATGTTTGACTGTTAAAATAATGACGTGACAATTAAAAATACATAAACAATAAATAATTTTTTATACTTTTACAACTCACAAGTCACAACCGGTTGTAGGTGTCGGCAATTCTTCCACGAACTTCTTTGTGGAGGCGTAGAGGCTCACCGGCTGGTCGAACAAGACCTTGTCGTTCGCCAGACGGACCTCGACGATGTCCAGACGATCGCCAGTACTTCCCATCTCCGACACCCGTTCTTGGTATAGTTCACATCGCAGACTTGTGGGTCCATTAGAGTCACCGTGATTGTCCCAGTTTGGACCTGAATCTCGTCATCAAATCTCGAATGCGAAGAGCTGAACTAAGAAACAGAGGAGGTTAAGTAATCCTCGCCGGGTGGGTTCGGGACGCGGGATACCTTTGGAATTCATCAACCCCTTTCCACCCAGGTCGAGATTCTGGAACTTATTGAGCGCCAATAAACTGCCCAATTCGCACAAAAGCGAGGAATCCGAGACCACCGATCGTGGTGATTACAGGTCCAAAAAGCAAGTGCAAGAGGCGACAGTGCCGCCTTTGATGTCGATAATGACGACAGATGACACATCTGGAGGAGCCCGGGGTAGAACGGTGGCCTAAAGGGGATGGTGGCCGTGGTGGGGGCGCTCAACCGCCTGGCGGGCGACTTTTGTTCCCGGGTTTGTGTGGTCGCTGCCGGAGGGAACAACAACGGGGATCTGGCAATGGAAGAGGGAACAAGGTTGCTTTAATCGCTACCGGGGGGAACGCCGGTGTGAGATCTGGAGATGGCAGAGGAACAATTAGTTTTCTTTCTTTCTTTGGAACCCATCGTTCTTCACTTCCCGACCGGTGGTGGAGGAAGCGGTGGAGGTGATGTAGGGCAACGACGATGGTGCTGGGGCGGTGGTGATTTCTTGGCAGTGGCCACGACGGCCACAGTGGAGGGAAGATTTAGTTGTCCAAGTATAAAAAATATTTATATTTATTATTGATTTATTTTTAATTGCAACGTCAGCATTTTAACAGTCAATAATAACTGTTGACCGCCATGTAGGACAAACTTAACGGAACTAGACGGGGAGTGACCAAGCATGTCATAAAGGTGTAGTAATGTATTAATGGCTGAATTAAAGCGAAAATGATTTGGGTGACTAAAGTGTTACAAATAGATAATATGAGTGACCAAACTTGCAATTCACCGTAAAACAAAAACATAGTTGTTAAACGGTATGTAAACGTGCTCTCCCTCTCTATATATTTATATTATTTTTTGGTAATGAACAAAACGTTCTCTATGTTTGAGATCATAAAACACTGTAAAATGAGACCTATAAAACGTGCTCTATGTTAAAGATCCTAGAGAACCCATCTGCGAATTGCTTTTTCCATTTCGGCATTTCCCCTGCGAATTAACAAAGTGAGAACTGAGAAGTGACTGGCATTGCTTCCGAGTCTCTCTCTCTCTCTCTCTCTCTCTCTTTCTGGCACAACAATGGCGGCGGCGTTTTCCTTCGCCTCCACCTCCCCCAAAAACTCTCCTACTCCCATTTCATCCCCTCTCTTCCTCCCTCCTTCCTCCCACTCCATATCTCTCCCTCTCCCTCCTCCATCGCCTCTCTCCCTCTCTACCTCCACCGCCGCCGCCACCGTCTCTCTCCACATCAGCTGCATCGACGCCGCGCAGCCTTTCGACTACGAGTCCCAGCTCCGCTACCAGCACCTCAAATCCAAATCCCTAAAAATCGCCATCCTCGGATTCGGCAATTACGGCCAGTTCCTCGCCAAAGCATTCTCCCGCCAGGGCCACACCGTCATCGCCCACTCTCGCACCGACTACTCCGCCGCCGCCTCCGCCCTCGGCGTCCGCTTCTACTCCAACCCGCACGACCTCTGCGAGAGCCACCCGGAAGTCGTACTGCTCTGCACATCCATCCTCTCCTCCGAGAAGGTACTCCAGTCTTTCCCCTTTCAGAGATTGAAACGCAATACCCTTTTCGTCGATGTGCTCTCCGTGAAAGAATTCGCCAAGACCATAATGCTGAAGTATTTGCCCGTGGAATTCGATGTCCTGTGCACGCACCCAATGTTTGGACCCGAGAGTGGGAAGCATTCTTGGGCCGGGTTGCCGTTTGTGTATGATAAGGTGCGAATTGGGAACAGCGAGGACAGGATCAGTAAATGTGAGAAGTTCTTGGACATTTTTAGCAGAGAAGGGTGCAGGATGGTGGAGATGAGCTGTGCTGAGCACGATCGACATGCCGCGGGCTCGCAGTTCGTGACCCATGCCATGGGGAGGGTGTTGGAGAAGTTTGGGCTGGAGTCTTCTCCGATCAACACCAAAGGGTACGAGACGCTGCTGAATTTGGTGGGCAATACTTCAGGGGACAGCTTCGAGTTGTTCTATGGCTTGTTTCTGTGCAATCCGAATGCTATGGAGCAGTTGGAGAGGCTGGACATGGCTTTTGAAGCGATTAGGAAGGAGTTGTTTGGGAAATTGCATCAGGTTTATAGGAAGCAGTTGTTTGGGGATTTAGAAGGTGGTCAGGTGGAGAGCTTTAGGATTCAGAAAATGCTTGTCAATGGTGCCTCTGGGAAGCTGCCTCCTTCTGAAACTTCGAGCGAAGATGGGTCTTCGGCTTAAGGGTTTTCACATGGATCATTGGTGGTGTAATAAAGCTCTATTCTCTGTTGCTGCTGCTGCTTTTAAAGAAGAAAGCATGTTGTAGTTTTGCAGTTTAGTGTTCGCTGAGTGAACTGTTGTTCCCCCGACGGCCTAATGCAGTAGTGGAAATGTAGTCGTTTTCAAGAAGAACAGAACCTGATTCTTAAATCATCTTTGTGATTTCGGTGAGCTGTGTTCACTGTTGAACTCTCGATTCCATGTATCTATAAGTAATGTTTTTAAGATTTTACGGTTTTCCACCAAAGAGTTCTGCTTCGGTGAGGGAAGAATTCTGCCTCGGTGTCCATGGATATCTAGCACTAGCTTAGCATGAAGAGTGCAAGTTTTTTAACCAAAATAGTGGCTCTGTGTACTGTATGTAGTATGGACACTAGGATGGTTCTCAAGACTTACTATCATAATTGGCGTATTGGAATTCGTCTCGATTTCCAGCTCGGCAAGGGTTGCTATAACCAGTGTCTAGTACCATGTTGGATTCTCATATGACTCGAGTAGGTAGAGAGGAAAAGAGAGAAGACCTGTGACTGAATTCAATGGAACAGCAGAGCAAGAAAAGTTGTGTTTAAACCCTGATGCCTCAACAGAATTAGAACACTTGCTAACATCAGACATCAATTACGAGTGTGTGCATCATACTGCTTGAGCAGAGCAGCGAGATCAAATCTCATCAGCCATGAATTATGACTTCTTGATTCATTTCAAACAAAAAATGGATAATCTGTATACCCGATGACAGGATCAGGTGTGTAAAACGTACTTGTATCATACTGGTTGAGAGGAACATTCAGCTCAAATCTCCTTGGTAGATCCGGATTAGCCAAGAACCAACGGCCATAAGCTACAAGATCTGCACGATTCTCTGCTAGCGCTCTGTTCCCGCCTTCCCTATCAAATCCTCCAGAGGTCATGAAACTACCATTGAAAGCTTTTCTCATGGGAAGAACGCTTAGAAGTTGTTCTCCACCAGTCTTTTGTCCCGGCTCGACAACGTGGCAGTAGGCAATGCCATATCTGTTAAGGGATTCAGCCATGTATAGGCCTAAAGCTTCTGGTTTTGAATCTGAGCATTGGTTATAGGGTGCAAATGGAGATAACCTGATCCCCACTCTGTCTGCTCCTATCTCATTGCTTATAGCTTCAACTATTTCTAAACCAAATCGACAGCGGTTCTCTTGAGAACCGCCGTATTGGTCTGTTCTATCATTCACTTGATCTTTCATGAACTGCTCAATCAAGAAGCCATGAGCCCCATGTATCTCAACCCCATCAAACCCTGCAATGGACAAAAAAAGGAAAGGTCTTCATTTTTTCATCCTGGCCAGATTTGATTTTGGGTAAGCATTTCTGTTCGTACAGAATCAGAGGTACTGCCATTTTGACAAAACTTGTATTCCCATAGCATAGTACCTGCTTCAATAGCATTCTTAGCAGCAATTCTGAAATCATTGACAATTTGTGGAATTTCTTCCGTTTTTAATCGTCGTGGAGGTGTGAATCTATTGACATCACCACCATTAGATCGACGGATCAATGGTTTGTCTGTACAAGAGATTGGAGCCTGGCCATGGGGCTGGAAACCTGCAGAGACAAAATGCTAGGTGTAACTCAAAGATGCTAACACAAAGAGACATACTCAGCACGCAGCTTGACTCAATGGGTACGAACTAATGGAAGTGTTCCTGAAATAAGGAAGCAATGATTCTTACAGATCGGATCTAACATGGTTTTTTTCTTCTGAAATATAGAAATGAAGGATCTGACGGTGAAGGTTTGAGTTAAAACATCACGTTTCTACTATCAGTAAAGAAGGAAAAACCTCGCTAATGGATTCACCTGCATTCGAAACCCTTCCAACGTGCCAAAGTTGACAGAAAAAGATGCCACCCTTGGCATGAACAGCATCCACAATAGGTTTCCACGCCTCAACTTGCTCCTCGGTCCAAATTCCCGGAGCATCTTTATACCTTCCACATGATGAATCAGCACACCAGAAGAAAATTGCATACAGATTATACTTTTGAGCACAGAAGGCAAAACAATATCAAAGTTGCACACCAAAACCATTAGCGTTAAGAACGAGCAGCCAATTAATTTACCCTTGAGCAGTGTCCGAAACAGCAGTGGCTTCGGCTATGAGAAGACCTCCTTTGGTTGTCCTCTGTGAGTAATACAAGATGGCATGTGGCTGTGGTACATATCCATATGATCTCTGCCTAGTCAATGGCGCCAGAACAATCCTGACACAGACCCAGCAACCATTGGACCAACATCATATACACAGTGAACGAAAATGTGATACACAAGAACGAAAATGTCGAGCATGAAACTAACTTAAAAGCTTCCCTACAGATGATTGCAGCAAAACAGAAGCTACTCAACCAGCCGAAAAGGAGCAGTACCCAGATTGTTCTCAACGATAAAACAAGAGTTGCATCCATATCGGATGATTCGGATGAAGGTGTTCGACAGAATGGACAATAAACTACATACCGATGAGAAAGATGGAACTTGCCCATTTGGTACGGGGTGAGCAGAGGAATCGCTAGCGCATCAGCTCCCACAGCAGAGGTAGAGTCCTTCTCCATGTTTCTTCACAAAGAAGTTGTTGCCGTGATGTTGTTGTTGTTGTTGTTATACACGAGTGAGAGAAACAAGAGACCAGCCACAGCTATGGCACGCTACTGGGTGGTTGATACTATAATAGCGACGATTGCATGATAGAAACTAGAAAGGGTGGCCGGCCGGCCGTCGTTTTGTCGTTACGAAATTGACAAAGGTGTGTAAGAATCATTGCTTCCTTACTAGTTACTACACATAAAAACAGAATTTAAAATGAATGAACAATCGCTACAGTTTTGGGTGATTGGTTTTGATTATTATATTATTGATGTCAACAATCGCTACAGTTTTGGGTGATTGGTTTTGATTATTGTATTATTGATGTCCCAAAAAGTGACTATTGATGGAATTGACAAAGGAAATGGAAATGTGAACCGAAAATACGTATAGGGGTCGTTTGGAAGTTGTGATTGTGCACAATACAATGTTTGGAAGTGCCAAAGTGTAAAACAATGCAGGTAGGTCCCACCAACAATCACAAAAAATGATGTATTATACAATCTCAACTATTAGTTGAGATTGTTGTGATTGTTGCTTTTAGATTTGTGTCAACTTTTTCTTTTCATTTATATCCCTAATAGTTTTTGTCTTATACTAAAAGTTGAGGGTGAATATGACATTTATCATAAAAGTAACTTTATGTAAATTAATGCAAAAATTATAATCTCAACAACCAAACAATGTATTGTTAAAATGCATCCATTGTATCAATACATGCATTTATATTATAGTGATTCATTACAATGCAACGATTTAACATTCGCAACTTCCAAACGACCCCATAATGAATACGAGGTTTTTGCCCGCGCTTTGCGTCGGGATATGTGGGATTGTTAAATTAATTTTTAGGTAAAAAAAATTCGTCCTTGAAGTTGATTATCACTTTAGCACATGGGATCAATATGCTTTTACCACTGAATCAAGTTGTAGTTTTTGTACACAATGCTCTCTACTTTGATTCTCATCCCCATATGACCACAAAAGGTTTGAATCACGCAGTCTAAATCAACTGTTCTTGATGTGTTGAACTATCACACAAATCATTTATTAGACATATTGACAACAAAAGAAACGAAAGTCAAATTAAATTTAGGTATATATATTATACAACTAACAATGGATTTCTCTAAATCTAGCTACAAACTCGCATTTAATAAAAACTCTTACTAATTACAATTTCTATTAGTATACTAGCACAGGGCCCGGCCTGTTGGCCGGGTGTTTGATTATTATGTATTTTGCATGTGTTGCCACTACTCATAATGTGTGTAAATACTCAATATCAAAGATATACAATGATTAGTTATATACATGTTCACAAAGAAAACATTTATAATTTTTTTATATAGTCCAATGTATTTTTTAAAATATTTCACAGTGTTTATCATATTTGTTGATCACGACACAGATTATAAATATGAAATTCTATGATTTGAAAGGGCACGTTGTAGATGGATAGTCACAAATGAAGACCTATTTTTTTTACAAAAGATAATCTTGTATTGCTAGGAAATGAAATGAAACATATTATACATTGGTATATAACCAGGAAATGAAATCAAAATAACGACATGTAGTCAGGTACAAAGAAAGGATTTTTCTAGCCACCACGTGGGCGATCATATTGCTATTTCGACCTACAAATCATACAGTAAGACCATTCTGATTTGCCACCAAACAACGAATTTCCTCAAGAATCGTTGCAAAGTGATTATCTTATGTATTAGGCTGGTTGGCCTAATTTGCTAGTTCAAATTTGATTTTTTGCCTCATTTCCAAATATACTTACAAACGATTAGGGGCATAAATCTAGTACTTCAATAAAATTGGAAGCTAAATATCATCAAGATCTTATGATTCTATGACGACTGAAAGAGATGGATTTTTGAGATCTCACACCAAGAGAAGAGTTCGATAACCTATTCAACAAAATTGTTGGAATCCTTTCCACATTAGGTCTAGAAGTCAGGCTCTCCCAGCTCCAAAGATTCATCTCCAAATTTTATTGTTACATGCATAGCCCAAAATATTTGAAGTATGATGCAATTAGCTTATAAAGCTAAAAAGAAAATAAACATGCTCTTGCAATAAATCTCACGTAAAACGAATGAATTTAGGAGTTAGAAAGGCAAATTTGACCGACCAACAAAAGAAGTGCATTCTACAAAGACTGTAGTAGATTATGAATAAGGAGAAAATGTTATTAGGAGTCTTAAATTTGGTAGACGGAAAGGGAAAGACGAAAGAAATTAATGTATGGGTCAAGAGAATCATGAATGAGAGATAACAAAACACAATAACAGGGAAAGAGGTCACGTTTATTAACCATTATGTTTTTTTTTGGACAATAGAAAACAAAACCTGAACAAAAGGAAACTACCATTTTCCTGAAGAAAAAAAACATGCTTAAAAATTTATAGGTTTAAAGGGTTTTGAAAATTAAACCTGGAAACGATAAAAGCATGGTTAGTAACGATTGTCATTATCTGAAAATTTTGGTGGTCTTATTACCACAATTTAAAATTTTATCAGTATTTGCAAAATTGTACAGTCTCAAGTCTCGATGATCTAACTGAAAACAGTCTATCGAAACCCAAGTTGATAGGCTATTTTAGTTGCATGAAATGGTTGAACGACGATTTCAACACAAAATATCTTGTCCCTGACTTTAGAGTGCAAACTGGTTTTACAAAATGTGTACAAAATTAATATATGTAATGAAATATATAGATAATAAATCGAATTAATCTACTTTTAGTAAAGAATTACATAAAATTTAAAAATAATTAAATAGTAAATCTTATTTTCTCCGATAATTAAAATTTCACTTTTGCATTGTAACTTTAGGGAATCGTTAGAGGATTCGCCTCTTATCTCGATAATCCTTTTTCCTTTATTGTGTATAAAAATAAAAGTTAATTTAATACTCATCACTTTATCGACTTCTCCATCACAACCTTCGGTATCTTTAAAATACGTTGAATTCTTGATTTAGCATATATAAATCCATAATCATCAATACCCTCCCAAAACCCAATCAAGTAGGGTCAAACTCAAACTTGAAGTAATTTAAGTGAGTTCGAATTAAATATGAATCCGCATATTGGGGGTAATGTGTGAGCATGGTTTTCTAACTATCCAACCCGGACTCGCGCAATATACACACATAAGTATTTTATCTAAAATTATCATTATATTTCTTAACATATTTGATATTTATTACACGCATATAATATTTTCACGTAATTATATTGTTTTTAACTAATTTTCTTAATTTTGGTGATTCATTGCCATACTTTTTCATTTCTATAATGTTAGTATACATGTGAATGTTAGCAAGTTCGATGGAGTTATAAAGATAGAAGATTACTCATGGATAACTGTTGATAAGTGAACTGATTCAACGAAGAAAAAAATTGTTGATACGCGAAATCCTATAGGGTATGACATGATTTTGATTGTCTACCATTTTTTGTGGTTATCAGTAAAAGCAAACTATTTTAAGTAGGATAATAAATGTTGTCGCAACCATCTCTCAGAATTGGGGCACTCACATTCTTCTCGGATTTGCCATGAACTTAGCTTGAAGTGGATAGAACGCTATTTTGGTATTGGTCTTAACCTTATGGTTAAACATAGGAAGATAGGATTAATTTAAATTTAGAAGTAGCAGTTAAGTAGATGATATTGGAAGACAAAACATAATCATTTTCAATGCCCTTTAACCCACATGAAATAAATCATAATGACACGTCATGTGACTACTTCTATTCTATGCTAACCAAAACCATTAATCACATCCAAACATAGGTCCAAATATATGCGTAGTATAACCAAATTTGGATTAAACACAATATAAAATGGACAAAGATCTATCATATCACTATTTCTCTTCTGATTTTGGAGCCAAACTAACATAACGGCTTTCCATGTAACTATTGCACTTGTTGCCGTCAATCTTCTGTTAGCGCAATGCAATTCAGGATAGAAGACGACCAATGGAAAAGATGATATTGTTAAACATGAAGACCCGAATAGCTGAACTAACTACCCAATAAATTCCTTTGTACCACTTGCCGACTTACACGATATCCAGCTGATAACAGGCAGATATTAAGAATAGATAGACTTTTTGCGGCCCAGGCCCAGGCCCAATTCCGGCCGAAAGCGACGGAAAGCAAAGCCCGGCGGACACAACTATCAAGCTATGACAGGGATGGGGACAAAACGCATGGCACAATTAATTGACAGGTATAATGTCCATAATACCCCTCCGTGAATTAATCAGAGAGCAGCATTTTCAAAATGGAGAAAATTGAAGTGGTGAATCTGCTTCATATATATTATAGATAGATGTATGTGATATACGAATTTAAAAATTTAATAATTAAAATATAATATATTTATAAGTATATCATTTTGTAAGCCAATTCCGTATTATACTAAACTTCAAAAACTTAGATCAGTTTATATATAATAAAAAAACTTAGATCAGATTCACACTTCATAGCCACCTAACACCTTCCTTCTCTCTTTTCATTTGCTATCATCATCTCCCTCCCACTTCTTCCTCTCACTCTATATCTCTTCCTTCCTCTTCCACATATAAAAAATCAATTAGTCTCACTAACTTAATTTCTCAAGAGATTTAATTATCAATTTTATATTATTTACTAACATCTCATTTTCTCCCTTCTCTCTCCCCCGTCCTCCCCCTCTCACTTTTTCAGTCAAAAATTGTAGTTGCTTAAGGACCAAAGTTGTCAAACCGATTTATACCGTTATGCCGGTTTGAGAATGTAAGACTGATTGATTCAATACATACTGATGCATTCTCCTTTATCAACAGGGTAGTTGGATTGGTAAAGTCTCATTATTTATTTATTTGGACACTTAATGATCATTAGACAACTTGTTGCAAGGTTATTAATCCGGTTTAGCTCGTTGGTCTGGTCGAGCACCAAAATAACAGTTCGTACTTGGATCAAACATATAGTGAAAATTCAAACACACTCATATAACATCAATATTCAAATGTTTAACTTGGGATTCCAAAGATAGGGTTACCCGAAGGAAAAACCGCTGAAAAGATGCAATTTGCAAACCAAAGAGAAAAACGACGTCATATGACCTTTGACTCGAAAGTTGGAAACGTTGTTGTGGGTCGGCTCGCGGGTGTGTGTCGTTCATTTTCCTCACAGAGTCCGGGTCTACCCGCATATTGACAACCTTGACCTATTGAACTCGGATTTTGTCAATAATTCATCCATTATCATTTAATTAAAACTTTGTACTAATATATCCATGGAGTAATTCCTCGAAGCTAAGAGATTATCCTTATTTTTAATTTTTGTCTCTTCATTTGGGTATAACACCAAAAAGGTGCAGCCATGTTTTAATCGCTGAACTGGGGACCTCAACTATGAAGGGGAATTGATACATTTAATTGGTTCCGCAGCTTGCCGAACTTCAGGGATGTGGTCAACGGAGAGCCGGAGGAGAGGGCCGGCCCGTCAGAATAGAAGATGGTGGTACCGCATGTTGCCCACTACCAGGGTGAGCTTGCCGGAGAGGAGGATCGGCGGCAGGAAATAGGGTCACACCACTCCACCAGAGTAGAAATTGGCGCTTCCAGCCGGAAGGAGGAATCGATGACGGTAATTTGGTCGCACCACTCTGTAAGAATTGAAGCTACTCTCTCATTGGGAAATTACGTTCACTCATTGTGATATGCCGACTGTTTCGGCTGGTGTCGGTTTGAGAATTTGACAAATACATTCAGTCTTTTAGCGGGCCTAAATCACCGGGCTATAAAGTTGCTTGAGCGGGGCCATTTTTCTTCTGCGGTTACTAACTGGCCCAAAAGTTAGCAATTAAGGGCTGGTTTATTGCCATGTATACCCCTCCGCAAACTAAGGAATGCTTTCCGATGGCTGAGGTGGCAGAAATGCCATATAGACTCCTGTATATATATATGTGTTGATGTTGAAGTATGACTGTTACACTTGGATACATTGAACATTCAATCCATCATGAGCACGTACCAACATTCTAAAAAATGAATCATGTGTTTATACTTTATAGAATAAAAACTCATCTGAAAGACCTTAAAACATATCAAGATCCAACATAACAATAACAACTAATTACAGGTAATATGGATAGCATTAATACATAAACATGGTGGAATTAATCTACAGCAAAAGGAACAACAAAATGGCGCATAGAAAAATGAATTCAAAGAAATGCAGTGAAGGTAGTTGCTATTCCTAGAAATAGTTGATTGTAGAGTCACCAAAAACATGATCCTCATTCGACTTCATCACAATATACAACCTGATTATCCAAAAGAAATGCTCTTCAAACCAACCAAAGCAATAAAATATGGCTACCAGAGCTGAACCATCTATCAGCCACGCACAAAACTTCGCAGAACAAAGTTCCTTTACCAACAACCTTGACCCGAGTGATCAACTATTACCTGTATACAAAGGAACAAATGAATATCAAAGCCAGCATAAGCAAATCATGGTAGATTTGAATAGATTTTATAATTAAAGCGGATAGCCAGATTGAGAATGCAGCGGTAGTAGCAAGACAATCAATGACCATAACAAAAGGAGAAACCACCCACCGAGACTTCAACAAAAACCATGCTTCAACAGCAAAAAGGATCAACACCAATGAGAAGAAGACTCCAACGAAAAAACCATTAAGGAGGATTCAGCAAAAGAACAAAGATGCTTCAGACAAATTCCAATCCACCCAGCAAATGCTCATGTGTAACAGGACAAAACATTTGATTAAAACAAACAAATTTTCAAAGTAGCACAGGTCAGAAAAACATAACTGATGTAGAGTAAGACTTACCCTTGTATTCAATAATATTTAGGCTTCATCATCATTTAGTGGTGGACAATACATACGACTACTCCTTCAAGAACCTACTTAGAAGAATAACATGTTCAAAGTGAAGAAATAAAGATAAATGGGCTACATCAAGGTCATTCATCAATATTCTCATACCTAGATTTGGGTTCTAGTTTCGCAAATTTCCTAAACATTCATGTTTGTCATTGCTGGAAGGATTGCTTAAGAAGTCGAAGCAGAGCATCACAAAAAGTGGCCCGACACTAAACCTCCTGAAAATAGCACAAAGAAACCATCTAACTAATTAAAAGGAGAAAAACTAATCCACATGAAGGACATAATATCTCATGAGTAGGGCTGTCAATTTGGTTTGGTTTGGTTAATCAAACCATTAAATATGAAAAACCAAAAATCAAAAACCAAATCCCAAAAACCAAAACCAAAACCATTAAGGCTCTTATTGGTTTTTGATTGCCAAAAACCAATAAGGGCCTTAATGGTTTTGGTTTTGGTTTGGATAACCAAAAAACCCACATGTACTCATACACTCATATTTATTCTCATTTCCCTCATTTTTATTGAATAAACGTCATAATAATGATAAATGACCATTACAAATTATTGGTTGGCATGCGTGTAAAAAAAACAAAAACAAAAACAAAAAAAAATTGTTGATAAATAATTTTGTTCTTATTGGTTTCTTAATGGTTTCTATTGGTTTTTCGGTTTTAACCAAACCAAAACCATTAAGTTGCTTATTGGTTTAAAACCAAAAAACTGAAACCATTAGCTTTCCAATTGGTTTGGTTTCGGTTAAAACCAAAAAACCAAAACCATATGGACAGCCCTACTCATGAGGGAGGCAGAGAGATCAAAGACCAAACCAGAATCGCCTCAAGGAAACTTGATTTCTGAATTGCTGGGATTCCATTATTTTTTACGGCAAATCCAACATGGGCATCTCGACCTAAAAAAAGATCATATAAGCAATTGTGAAGTAAAGCAACAAACAACCCTATTTGAGAAGAGGAAACACACCCAAAAGAGAGAATATAACCTGCAACACAAAATTCACACGAAACTTGTAGATCTGTAAAGTCAGTTTGTGACTTCCTCCAATCTTCCCCGGACCAAGGGAACAGACAAACCACGGGATTCTGTCTATTTTTCAAGATATTATCATTAGTCTGCCTGCCTTTGACAAAGCCACTCTGAGTAGGAGAGATCAACTTGGGCATCAGATTTCTGAACCTATTAGCTATGGCTTTCGTAATAGCCTTGGGTGCCACATTGTTTAAACTATGGTATACACATACTTAATACTATGAATAACCACTCAAGAGTTAGAAGTTCATCTCTTTTAGACTCATAAAATATAAAGTTTGATATTGTTCCTATAATGTATATTTGTATATGTAGAGTGTAGACCACAACATATGAACGCCTAATTTAGATAAATTTCATATGTTATGTTGGATGAAAACTTGAAAGCAAGGTTCTTTTCAGCCTAAGAAAATTGCTAAAAGACTAATAAGTCAATTCAAACAAACACAACAATTCATTAACTCATACCATTGTGATAATTTTTTGTTAGGTGAATACTTCTATACTAACCGTAAGATAATTGTCTTAGTTACATGTATTTATGTTAAGGGTCAACTATAACTATGTGTTGATTGTTATGTTTTATTCATTATACAAATTGTGAATTGATAAATTAACCGAAAATTTTCTCACTTAATGATAATGTGATTTAATATTAGTTAATCTGGTTAACCAATTAACCAAACCGATTAAACTTTAGTTTGGTTAATTTGGTTGTTGTATTAGTTTGGACGGTTTGGTTATGATATTGTATTCCATGATTAATGAAATTTAAACTTATTTAGTTTGGTAATAACCATGGTAACCATTTGAAAACCCCTACTCCTGTGTCTGCAGTCCGGGTTGTCTAATGCAAATGCAGGGCTCTTTTTTTACTATTGGACTTTTTTATCCATTGATTCGCCCAATGGGCCTGTCATTGGTTTGCTTTGGTTGTTATTTTTCTCCTCTTTTTTAATCTTTTTTTTATATAATTTTTGCTAAAATTTGGCCTTCCATGCTAATTATTTCTTCATGAAATTACTAATGATAGTTTATTAAAGTTACAAAACTTATTCTTACCAAAAAAAGTTACAAAACTTATAACTTGAAAGGGTTAGATAACTAATCAAAATCTTTTGTAAAATTACAAAAATCATATTAATGGTTGTAGTTTGAGAAGAAAAATCTAATTATCCAATTTATAAATAGATAAGGAGAGAAATAAGAGATTTATGAAAGGTGACTATATATTTAGGCAGTTGATCATATTTTAGGGGCCTGGTGCGAACGTTTGTTGTGAAATCTCTTTTAAAATCTTCTATGAAAATTCAACTGATCATAATTTCATTCGTTTTACATCAGATTTGAAAAATATTATTGTATAGAAATATAATATTTTGTGATGTACGACCTTGTAACTAGGGTGAGAAGCGAGCTGAGCTGCCACGGATTGCTCCTTCGATTGCTTGAAACCTCTTTGCTGAAAGTGAAAGTGAAGATGATATCCAGTCTGATATTTTTTGAACAAATCTTCGCGTCATCTTAACACTATTATATCACGATTTTATCACTGATAGTTGTTTGACAATGCTGTCAATCTTACCATAGTGGTAAGATCATAATATGACTGGTGAGATGATATTGTAATGTTTTACCGTAGTGATATGATGGTATTTTAGTGATATAATATTAATATGATGTCTAATGTTTGACAAAATAATTTAATATTATATTATAATATTATAATTATATTTTGTGTTAGAACCAAGGTTGTCAACCCGCGGGTTGACCCGGACCCGGTCGAGCTAGTGGGTCAAGGGTTAATGGGTCAACCGTTTTATCCCGGTTTGGCCCGGATATATGAAAAAGTCATAATATTGTACTTATCCTCATAAATTATATCAAATCTTATCTAACATATGAGTTATAACATATAATATTACACCAAAATAACATATCGTATATCGATCCAACATATAGTGAAAATTCACACACACTTATATAACATAAATATTCAAATGTTCAACTTAGCATTCCAAAAATTGAGCTAGGCAAAAAGAAAAATCGGAAAATAGGCGCATTTCGCAAACCAAAGAAAAAAATGATACAATTTGACCTCCAACCTGGTACCTTGTAGCGGTCGGCCCGGTGGGTGCGTGCGGCCCATTTTTCTCACCAGGTCAGGGTCAAAGTGGGTCGACCCGCGGGTCAACCAGCGGTTTGACAACCTTAGTTTTTTTTTTTTTTTTTTTTATAACATTGACCGAAAGGTGAGCAGAAAACTCTTTTTCCTGAGTGACCTCGATTTTTTCATCTGATTTCCTTGATATTTGGCATTGGTAGGTTGAACAAACTTTTTTAATCTAATTCAAGTGATAATGCTTTCTCAATGACACCTAGCCACTAAGTTATAACAAACCTTATTCAATTTCTTCTTCTGCGAGCTTCTTTATCTGATACTAAACCTTCCTTGGTAATCCAACTTTAGAAGTGATTACCACGTATAGTAGCTAATGTTCGAATAACTAAAATCATAATGAAATTTTTAATTCCGCATATTCCCCCTCTCATTACGTAGTCAGAATTTCATCTAATATGAGTTCACTTAAAATTAACAACAATTAAATAACTTTTGTTAAACTTTTCTATTGGGCGGAGTTGCGCTGATTTGTATTTAATTTTATATGGAGGACCACTTTTGTTATTTACCACTTAAACCTAGCTGCTTGTGGAATGGCTCAAGTAGGTCAGCCGTAATCTCCTTGTACATAAGTGATGGAGATTTCGGCTTCTCCCTGTAAGTCATAACAAATTAGTGAAGCTTTGCTTGAGAGCGCCACTCTCCGTGGAGTAGTCCCGGTACTCGGGGAAACCACGTTAAACTCTCGTGTTCTTTATTCTTCCGCGTTTTACAAGTATTTACATGGTATCAGAGCAATAAGATTCAGTGTCCACACGTTCTCTCGACATGGGGAAGACTGACGAGACTTCTAGCGGCGGCAAGGGTATTGATGCCTCTGGCAATAGCCCGATCCTAGTTAGCTCTCCACTTTATCTTCATCCCTCGGAGAACCCTGCGAAATTGTTTGGCATTCATCTGCTGACCGATTTGAACTATGGTGAATGGGTCAATGATCTCACTGAGACCCTGATCGCCAAGAACAAAATGGTCTTTGTCGATGGCTCCTTCCCTCGCACCAAAGCTAGTCTCGGCCTTCAACAAGACGCCTGGGATCGACGTGATGCGACCGTGAAGTGTTGGCTCAAGACAGCCATGTCCCTTGAGCTCCGGAACAGCGTGCGCACAGCCGCCACTGCTCGTGATATATGGAGCGATTTACAGCGCCGTTTCAGTCGCGGTTCTGCACAACTGGCTTACGAACTGCGACGCAACCTCAGTTTTGTTCGGCAGGAAAAGCTTTTGGTGTCCGCTTTCTATACGCAGCTCCGAGCTGTTTGAGATGAGATGTCCTCGATAGGGGGAGACCTTCGCTGCCGATGTGCCGGGTGCACATGTGGAGGCTGCTCCTGTGACATTCCACGCCAACTTCAGTCTCAGCGGGAAACGTTTCATCTTTTTGAGTTCTTGATGGGGCTCGATGACTCCTATTCGGTGGTCCGATCGCAAATTCTCAGCACGAGGCCAATGCCGACTCTTTCTGATGCGTATCAAATGGTCTCTGCCGAGGAACAACATCGACAAATCACTGCTGGGCGTCGTCCGACCATTGAGACAACTGCGTTTCAGGTGCAGAACGAGAAGGAACCGCCCGATGATCGGCCGCGATGTTCCCATTGTAACAAAATTGGCCATCATCGAGAGACTTGTTATCGACTGGTGGGTTATCCTCCGGGCCATCCGCGCGCCAACAAGCAAGGGGATGTCCATGGCGGAGCACGTCGTTCCAAGGCTGCTCATGTGGAGCTTGATGCTCCTTCGTCTATTCCTGGGCTGTCCGCGGCACAACTAGCTTAGCTCAAAGAATTTTTGGCTTCGACGGATATCTCCTCATCACCTACAGCTCATATGGCGGGTAATGTTTCTGAATTCGATGACTGGTTAATTGATTCAGGTTGTAATTAGCATATAATTCGCGATGCTAGCTGGATGGAGTCGGTAGATAGTCATTTTCAGCCCTCGCATATTCGCATACCTGACGGGAGTGGGGTTCCTGTTAAAGGAGTGGGGACTGTACGCCTCACTAGTTCTATTTGTCTCAATCGGGTTCTGCATGTTCCGGGTTTCAAGTGCAATTTGTTATCAGTTAGTCGCTTGGCTCAAGATCATAACATCGCAGTCTTTCATACGTGATTTCTGCGTGCTTCAGGCCTTACCTTCCAAGACACTGATTGGAGTGGGTCAGCTTAGGGAGGGCTATACTACCTGCGCCGTTTGGATCACATGATTTTAGCTCGTGCCTGCAAGGCCACTGGACTGGGGGATCCGACGCGCCTATGGCATGCCCGGCCGGGGCACCCATCGTTCGATAAACTTGCTTTGTTGAAAGATTCTTTGGGTTGTAGTTTCACTTCTCAGAGTTCTTCTCCTTGTGTGTTTTCGAGCTAAACAGACTCGAATACCTTTTCTTACCAGTTCGATTAAAACTACTGGCTGTTTCGATTTGATTCATGTTGACATTTGGGGGGGCATATCGGACGCCTGCTCTTGATGGTTCTCGCTATTTCTTAACTATTGTGGACGATTTTAGTCGTTCCACTTGGGTTTACTTGGTGAAATTTAAGTCGGATGTGGAACGTTATCTTCGTATGCACTGCCAGCTTGCTCATACACAGTTTGGGAGGTCTGTTCGCCGCATACAGGCGGATAATGGCCCGGAGTTTCAGACCAATTCTCTTCGCGATTATTAGGAAGAACATGGGATAATTCTGCAGACTTCGTGCACTGATACTCCTCAGCAGAATGGCGTGGTAGAGAGGAAACATCGTCATTTGTTAGAGACTGCCAGAGCACTTATGTTTCATGCAGGTTTGCCAGTTCGTTTCTGGGGCGAATGCGTTCTTACTGCGACATATCTCATTAACCGCTTACCTTTGACAACCATTGGTGGGAAGACACCGT